AAGGTTGACCCGCCCCTCCACTTATCTGCTAGTAATAATTCTTTCCTTATCTTTGTATCATAACAGTATCAATAGATGGTAAATTATATCCGTAAGTTATATTGGTATTTTGTAAAGCATACAAATAATACTGAAAGCACTCGCTACATATGGCAATCACTTCTTGCATTTTCCCATTTCTCTCTTTCTCTTTTTCATTTCCCTATTTATCGTTTTAATACTTACATTGCTAACAATATCTACATGCATCTTTTTTGCATTTTTTCTGGCTAATTTGGCAGTTATTTCATTAAAATCCATACAAACTGCACTTACTATGGCCAGTCGTTTATAGATATTAACAAGTTTCAATGATGTCTCAAAGGCCATCACTGAAACTATCCACCACAATTGACTGTACACGTTCAAAAAAAAAAACCTAACAAGAAGAAAGTTGCAAAAGCACAACGCAGCCTTGGTCATTCAGTTGTTCCTATCTCTGCAGTCACGGCCAGATGCAAATATTGATGAGTTTACCATGTATGAAAATCAAAAGGAATCCCTATCATTGACTGTTGCTGGTCATTTCCAATCTGGTAAGAAGTCCGATCTCTTGAAATGCTTCGAAAAAATCAATGAAAAACCGACCGGAGAAGCAACAGTGAAATTCTTCGATGGGCCTGCTGTCATAAGGAATTCCCTTAACAAGAAAGTGGCCTTTAAAAAAATATTATAATAATATTTTGAAAGAGGTTTATACATCAACTAAAACTTGATACCTGTTTACTTTAAAAAAAAAAAACCTTTTGTATTGCTATCAAAATGAAAAGTGACCCAAGAATATTTTTCCGACAAAATATTTCAGAGATGCGCTTGTTTTGCCAAGTTACATGTTATATGAAAAAAAAATGCTCAATCGGACAACTATTAAGAAAGAAAGCGATTCACTTTATTTTGAGTGATTTTGACAAATGCACACGGGCTCCTGCATTCTAACTGGACAACTAAGGACAGCAGATGTCCACCGTATTCAGGTCACAAAGTAGTTACTCAACCATTTTACCTGGTTACAAATCTTCTTAAAAACAAAATTTTCCAATTTCTACACGCCTTTACTCAAATTCATGTTAACAAATTCAATGTGTCTAATGATACTAGGTTGTATAAAGTTCCAACTGATTATTGAATTACAAGGTGAGATTGAGGTGGCATTATCCCAGTCAATACAATGATTATTATCTCTCGTATGAATGAACAAATCTTTGGATTCCTGGCCTGCCCTAACACCATATTTACAGTATGCTGTGTGGGTCTAGTTACAAGATCATTGCCCGTTTGCCCTAAATCGAACATACTACATTCTTTGCATGGAACCTTGTAAATGCGGCCACCTGGATTGCTGGGAGAATTCTTAATTAGCATTTACTTTCCAGTAAAAGAATGACTGAATGTTACATTTGCGTTCCATGTTTTTTCGGTGTTTCTCTGTTCCGGAAATGCGTTTTATAATTCTGGGGTGTATTCCTGAGACATACATAAGTATAAATGACTTCATGACCATAGTGTCAATACCCCATAGTTTCGAAGTTAAAACACGTGTCATTAAGGGATGGGCTGTGATCAAATATACGGAGTAAAAATGAAATATCCAGTGTTGCTAGTACATTTTATTTACAGTCATAAGTAATCCTATATGGATTTTACAGAAAATGATCAAAGTTCCGGCCTTCTTCCAGAATGCAGGCTTCAGTCCATCGCAAAAGTGACTTTCAAAGACTCCCGGGGTGTTGCTACTGTAATGCTTGTGGTACTGTCTTGCACTCGGCGCCATAATTCGCCGAGTCAGGACCTCTGTAGCTTACATCTTGCTTTTAACGTGATCCCACAAGTAGAAGTCAAGAAGATTTAGGCCAGGTGATCGAGGTGTTCATCTGCCAGGATATCCAACATTTAGGAATTCAGCTATTACAGGAACAAAATGAGCTGTGGTACCATCATGCATGTACCACAGTTGTTAACGTATCCTGATGGCAACATCCTCAAGCATCACTGGCAAAGTGTCCTCGAAAAAAGTTTATGTCCATAGAATAGTTGCAGTCCTCCCCTACCCAATTTTTTGTCTAAGTCCGAAACTAATGGGAAGGGGTATTGACACGAAGGTCATAGAGTCAATTATGCTTATGTATGTCACTGGAATACCTTCCCAGAATTATCAAACGTATTTCCGAAATGCCATATATATATATATATATATATATATATATATATATATATATATATATATATATATATATATATATATATATATATATATATATATATATATATATACGTTACCACGTAAACAAAGTGCACCAAATAGTGACGTTACATATAGCATGTGAGTCAGTTGAAATTCATTAACCTATAACATGGAATCTACTTAAACTCAGTATTATCATCTTCGGATAGGGTGTCCACAGATGAATGGCATTTGTGCAACTCACCCCTCTGTAATGTCCACAAGCAACTGAGCACTCTAGACCATGCTTCCTGCAGTTACACCTCCGGGTATCACAATTCACTTGACAGTTGCAGCGTATTACTTGTAGCAGTGCCTCTGGAGCGGGTGGCAAATCGGTTGTTTTAGGTTCAAAAGAAGCATGATTGTAAATTCATCCCCATTTTTCAGGATTCAAAGTGTTTCCCAGCCACTCTTAACATTGGAAGTATGTACGCGCACTGTGGGACTGAGCAGCTGCGGTTGTTGGAGGGAGGGTGTGCACCTGCACGAAAGAGCAGCCTCTCATAGCCTTCTCGCAGAACTTTCTGTAGCGCAGGACAGCCAAGCCCTCACCATAGTCACCACCATTCAAGCAGGTGACTTCTTCTTTAGAAGACTGTTTCAAGAAGCCTGCTGCTTCCTTCTTTAACTCGACATTGCTTCGCAACTTCTTAAGTGCAGCTTCCTTTCCAACACCAAAGAGACGTGAAGTGGTGTCACATCCAGTAATGGCATGCACGAATGGCAGCAAGGAACATATTTTTGGACCCAGTTGTTTCTTCAGCCAATTGATGTTCCAAATCCTCCTCATCTTCTTTGAAGTCTGATGTCCTTCTGATCTGAACAGAAGTGGGAATGAGGTTGTGTCAGCATGCATGCACAATAGCACCAAGCGGTCTGTGTCTTCTCCAATAAGGGTAATAGGATGTCTGGACGCACATTCTACTGCTGTCTGGACAATCAGTAAGTCTGCATTACCATCCGCACGAACAGCTCTGATGCCATTTTCTTGCAGCTTATGACTGAGCATTCAGATAAATCTCTGGTTGATTGAACTGTTGGCCAAGAAGTGTTCTTTCTTTGTCTTAGTCGGCGTCCCTTCTACAAAGTTGACCTTGGCACCGACCACTCCTCGGGACCTTTGACGGTGAGACATGTCCTTTGTAGAGGGACCAGCTTCATAGCTATCAAAGACAACTATGGCATCAGCATACCTCCTTTGTACATAGGAGACATAAAGTTAGCAAATGGAACCAAATGTATTTACTCGCAACCATGCTAACTTTTGGAGTAATGAGCCACCATGAAGTACATAGCACATGTCGGTTTCTTCCTGAGTATGCATGCTTACACATTGTGCTAATGTCCAAAGTGCATCAGCAAGTGATGGCTTGTTGGCCTAAGTAATAACCAAGAGCTCGAATAGCTCAGTTTCATATTCTGCCCTCTTGTGCTATTAGTACATCCAGAAAACATATTATCAATGATAAGTTTGTCAATCCCATTTAGGAATTCATAAACCTCTTTCATGTCCCCCTTTAAACGTCTATCTTCTAGTGAATGCAAGTTCAAATACTTAATCATTCTTCATTGGACAAATTACCGATACCTGAAATTAGCTTAGTAGCTCTCCTCTGAATTTTCTCTAATAATTCCACACCTTTTCTAAAGTAGGGGGACCATGACTGAATACAATATTCCAAATGGGGTCTTACGAAGGCATTATGCAATTTTGTCACTACTGTCCTACTCCTGCAGTGTACATTTCTTCAGATAATGCCTAACATTCTATAGGCTTATTATGTTGAGCTATACATTGATCATGGACTTTGAGATCCTTTGAAATAATTGCACCTAAGTCCCGCTCATTATCAACTTCTAGCTTTATTCTAAATTTATAGTAATATTTTGCACATATATTATATAGAGAATCTAAAAGGTCCAGAAATAGGCTTTCAAATAATCTATAAATATATATATATATATATATATATATATATATATATATATATATATATATATATATATATATATATATATATATATATATATATATATATATATATATATATATATATTCAAGACATCTTCAGTTGTCTCTGGAGATGTCTTGAAGGCGAAAGCTAAGTTGCTCCGTTGTTTCCCTTATCCCGTGTGATTTTATCAAGATTTATCTTATCCACGTTTTCATTGTGGATATATATATATATATATATATATATATATATATATATATATATATATATATATATATATATATATATATATATATATATATATATATATATATATATATATATATATATATATATATATATATATATATATATATATATATATATATATATATATTTGTGTGTAATGAACACCTCACCCCGCCAGGATTCGAACCCACGGGGTAAGGTGTTGATTATATGTAGAAGTTCGCGTGCTCTATTGGGCTAATGAAATATATATATGGATCCTCGTGCTTCGAAGCCGGATTTGGTAAAACGTTGCTCTGATCACCTAAGCGGCACGGGTGGTCCCCATTAGAGGTTCACGGACCCATAAGCTCGTTGAACAGGCTTTGTGTGAAATATACCAGAGTCTAGGACTGCTTTTAGCCTCCTGGTGGCCCAGAGGTAGCGTTCCCCGGTCACAATTATATGATGGTGGGTTCGAAACCTGGCGGGGTGAGGTGTTGATTATATGTAGAAGACCGCGTGCTTTATTGGGCTAATGAAATATATATGTGTGTGTGTGTGCTGTGTTTCAGAACTGAACTCTGGGGAGGTGTTGACGGAGGACGGGGCGGAGTGGATACATGGAGGTAAAGGCAACTTCCTCTTCCATCTAGCCAAAGAACAAAATGCCCTCGCCCCCAAACTCGGCGACAACGACTGGGGTAAGACACCCACACACTCAAGGTGTAATGGAAATCATTGACTATAAGCACAGGTCTGAGGAGATCAAATTTTAAACATTCAGATATATCACTACAAGGAAAAGAGAAAATCCAAATATAATCCAATCACTAAAAAGCAAGAAATTCGAACAGAAATTTCAGATTCAAAGCATTATGAGAAACATCTCAGCATACAGCAACAGATTCAGTCAATTTCAAAACATTCATTGAGAAATATTATTACAAGTCACTTTAAATTACAAAATTCAATATTAGCTATAGGATGGTTAATCTAAGGTGAAATGAAGTGGGATGCCTAATCTTCATATAGTCCACTTATTTACATTGTGATCCTTATAACAGAGGTGTGGATCAAGCGTCAGAACGGAGCCAACGCTGATGAACGAGGCTTCGACCTGGCCAAGGAAATACTGTGGAAGTGTGACTCACGCAAAGCCCTGGAACCCTATTACCTTTATAACAAGGACATGGGATACGGCCAGTGCCATGAAGACAAGTAAACCTGAATTATCTGGAGGGTGGGGCAAGGAAGCTAGAATACGTAGGAAGTGGGGGGAAAAGTTTGACGGAAATTTCTAATAAAACATTCAATAGGTACAAGGAAAATGTGTTAGTGTGTTAAAATCATAAAAGGTAGTTGGAAAATATACTAGAAAACGTTGAAGGCAAACGTTTAAAAAAACGTAAGAGGTAGAAGGAATATACAGTATATTAGAGAAGAGATAGTAGGGGAAGATGAGTTAGAAAATGTATATAGCAGAAGGAAATTGAGACCTTCCGATCATGTTCTCTACCGAATGTTCACCAAATTGAGTTTAGTAATATAAAACTAAACAAGTAGAGAATAAAGCGGCCATGATAAATTGATGAGTAGTTAATCAGATAATATCTTATTGAGTGTATGAATATTTTGATGAAGCAATGGCTATTATAATGAGATAATGTAACCAGTTGATCAGTTATTGAGCGATATGGTATAGTGACTCAGAGTTGTGTATATTTCAGGTTCAACCAATGGTATGATTCCTCACGCACCCGGCAGTATGAGAAAGACGCCTGGCACCACTACCTTCACCAGGTGAGTTTGTCTTTATTACTTCTTATAGTACGAAGTAGGTTGGATATCGCTCGAGTGTGAGCATGCTTGGACCGGGATACTTTAACGTGGTCTTCGCTTATATTGAGATATCTTGGGGTGTTTAGTATGAGAACTTTCTTTGATCACTTAACGTGGCAGTGCATGTAGTATATTTGAATCAAAGGTCACGTGTGGCTGGTTTGGTACTTCTCTCTGTGTGTGTGTGTGTGTGTGTGTGTGTGTGCCACTACGGGCATCGATGAAGAGATTCAACATCGGATCAGATGTGCATCTCAAGCGTTTGGCAGACTCCGTACCCGTTTCTTCAGCTGTGTTGAGCTGAAATTTTCTACAAAGTTGCACGTATATCGAGCAGTGGTCCTCCCCACCCTGCTATGTGGCAACAAGACATGGATCACCTACAGGAGGCACCTCAAGGCACTTGAAAACTTTCACCAACGTAGTCTACGCTCCATCCTTCGAGTTTGCTGAGAAGACGAGAGAACAAATGCCAGTATTCTCGCTGACACCAACTGTAGGAGCATCGAGGCTACCATTATCCATGAACAAGTACACTGAACTGGCCATGTTACCCGCATGGACGACAGTAGACTGCCAAAGCAGCTACTTTACAGTCACCTAACGAATAATAAACGTAACGCTGGCTAGCAACTGAAAAGGTATTTAGTTAGTCTTATGACAAACCTAAGAAAGTGCCAAATCGACCCCCTCACCTGGGAGACGTTCACTCCACTCCGTAACGCTTGGAGGAGCACCACACGAGAAGGTGTCAATTTTTTCGAGTTAGCCAGAGAGCATACCGAGGCAGACAAGCGCCAACGCCGGAAAGACGCTGCCGCCGCCCCTCTCGCACTAGAAGTAGCCCGCCACACATGCAACATATGTGGACGGCACTGCCGGTCTTGTATCGGCCTTTTTCGTCACCTCCGAACTCACCATGAAGGTGACATCCCTAATATCTCCTATCATTATATCATAGTTGGATGATCGTCATACTCGATTCCAAGTGACAGGATAATAGTAGTAAGTTATGTGTAATAATAATAATAATAATAATAATAATAAAAATAATAGTAATAATAATAATAATAATAATAATAATAATAATAATAATAATAATAATTAACAGGTTATTGAAAGAGCATGGCAGCAGGAAGGCTGAAAATATACAGTTACATAATTGGGGAATGGGTCACTTGATTGACAAATAATATACAATTAACATTTGCGATACAAATATGATAAATAATAACTCGGTGGGAAGAAAGATATACTTCAGAGCATTTCAATATAGTGACTGCAAAAATGTAAGATTGACTGGGAGTGAATTCATTGGTTGGCTACGAGTTGTTGATATTTTTTGCAATAGTTGGGACTGGGCTGTTCTTATAGCGATCAGTACGTGCTCGTATGGGCTGGATGCGGTTGTGGTGTCGAACAGCAATTCGTGGACGAGGGATCTTAGGTGGAAGTAGGAGCCGGTGTCAAGGATGGTGCAGAAGCTTCTCACCAAATCTGCAGACGAGGTCGTGGTGATGATTAAAGCTTCTTGATACGTGGAGTAGGAGGGGGAGAGAATAATCTCGCATGCCCTCTTTTGTACTTGTTTTACTGTAGGTGTTTCCGTTGTGTGGCATTTAGGGAGGAAGACCAGGCAGGGGAGGCATAGGTGAGCTTGGGAAGTATGCATATTGAGTAAAAACTGAGGTGCTCGGTATGGATATTTGCCGGACAGCAGTAGCAGCAACAGCCAATGCTCCTGATGACAATATTCAATTGGTGGCTGGCAGGAGCAGGAACGCACCTTCCCTGAACAGTCAATGACAACTTGACCCAGACCGTACCTCGACCTCCCCAACCACAACAACTCTTAGAACCGGCTTAATTGAGCGAACAACTTCGACCGTCCATGATTAACGCCTCCACACAACTCAAGACTAGAGTGTACTGTAGACATCCTCACCAACGCTTAGGATTCTCAACAGCAGCTGTTCTCCATACAGGCAGTGTGAGTGACCTACACTCCTGCTGGAGGGCAGCTGTTTCTTGGCCTTCCTGACGTGGTTGGATTTTTTTTTTCTCCCTAAGATTTCTTATTACTTACCCTGGCCGAGGCACCTACATTTTTTTTCTAAGCATTCGTGCCAGAGCCCCTCCAGTGGCACACACATCACAGCTGAGTGGGATTGTGTGTGTTCATTGGGGGTCGGGGACAAAAAGGCCGAGTCCATAGTGACGACTGTGATTGTGCAGTCACTCCATTGCGCGGAGGTTGTCTTTGGTAAAACGCAGAAGGGTCTCCAATAACCTTTTACATGTAAAAATGGCAGTTAACCTAAGAATACAAGTAAAAGACAAAAATAAACCGTTGATAGATCAAGTGTGATTACCCTAGTATCTGTTGAGCTAGGTGTGCCCTTCAGTAGGGTGTTTAACCAGAATAATGGATTTAAAGTTATTTCTCGCAAATGAAAACGATGCAGACAAACTGCTTACCACAAAATCAAAACAAATTTTTGCCAGGAGTGGACTTAGTGTGCTTAAAGCCAGGAGAACAGTTTTCGTAAGGAAACTTGATTCTCAAGTAGGAGGGGAAACGGCAGAATTCTTGAAGACAGATATAGAGAACAGAAATGAAGGACTTAAGGTTGAAGAGGTAAATAAGATAAAAGACTACACTCATGTATTAAAGATCTGCTTCGAAGAAATGGCCACGGCAGACAGGGTTCTCCAAAAGGGGCTTCCAAGCATGCAGCATGTCAGTATCCCCAAATAAAGAGGGAAAAATTCACAAGCCTCCCGACATACTTCACGTGTTACAAATTTGAAGAACATTCTGCAAAGGACTGTCCAGTGAAGGATAAAAAATACTATTCCAACTGCGCAGAGGAAGGGCGTGTTTATACCCTGTGTAGTAACACCAACAAAGGATGTGTAAACTGCAAAAGGAACGGAGATGTATACCACATCCATCCAACCATGGCCATGTCCTGTTCCGTTAAAAAGATCAACATACGTATGTAGAAATAGCAAAGAGGGTGGTAAAGGAGGCAACAAAGTCAACCATTGGCACGGTGATAAACCTCAGTGAAACAGATCACTTCAAGGTAATGGTGAGCATGCTACATGCTCACCTCCATAACATTATAGCCCCAGGTTCCTATGCCGGTGAACTAAATAAAATTCTGTAAATAAACAACATGCCACGAGTGAACTGCCCAACAAACACAAAAATCAGCAAATCTCCTACACGCCACCAGCACTTTAGGCGAAGATTAAACGTCCCCAAAGAAACAACAGAAACACCAGCAACCCCCAATACCGAACCTGAAAAAGCTATACAACCAGGAGAAATAAACGAGAAGCCAAGAGACCCAAGAATACCACAAGGCGCTGGAAACAATGACCAAGAAAAAGGAGGAAGATCACTACGAAACAACACCCCCCAAATACCTGGAGACGCAACAGATATAGGACTTAAGTTCTATCAAACATACCATTCCCACCGCACAAAAAAAAAAATAATGAAAACTCATCGAGAACTTAGTTACATCAAATGATATTGTCTGGCTGTACGCCGATGAACGGTATGATCAAAACACCGTATGGATAATGATCAAGAAAGACAAAATAAAATTTGGCTTAAAAGACCTCTTTGTAATCTCACCAGCAGAATTACATAAGAAAATGTCGGAACTTCGCGAAACGAGATCACCGCCGCAACTACAACCAACAAAGAAAAAGAAATAATGGATCATCTTCAATTGAAAACACTCAAGATCCTGCAGCACAATGTCCATGGCGGGAATACGTGTAAAATGTCAATTTGCAACATATACAACGAAATCAGTTCGGACATGAGCCTAATAAGTGCACATGGCGAACCTGACAAAACAAAATACTCAACTATGACTCACCAATCGAACAAAAGCGGGCAAAAACATGACGGAGGAGTGGCAGTAGTGGTGAAAAAAAAAATCAAATTTATAATAATAGACAACTTTAACAGTGAATTTATTGCAATCAAGCTACAGACAACTCAGGGCGAAAGAGTAATTGCAACAACTTACCTACCCCCAAAGACCATTCCTCCCTATCGAAGACCTTCTTAAACTAACCAACTATAATATCCCAATGTACATTCTGGGAGATTTTAATGTTAAACATCGCATATTTAACAATGACAACAATAACAACATAGGTACAACACTAGAAAGAATAATAAACACCGGAAGACTACTACACCTGGGTCCGTACTTTACCACATGGAGGGGACGAAACAGCGTCTCAACATTCGACAAAATCCTGTGTAACAACAAAGCATTCCTATACTACCACATAGAGCAAGGCCCCATTACCCCAAGTGATCACATCGCGATAATATTTACAATCTCAATTAGCCCATTACAAATAAAAATACCACCAACCACGACCCCCTGACGGAGACATGATGATCCTCCCCATACTGGCCAGATATTATGTAAATAACATTGATTATGTGTTAAAGGAATATCCTTCCTTCCTTAGGCTTTAGTAAGCCCCTTTATAATATTTATACTGTATATAATTGTCACACTTGCCAGATGCTTCTGGTGTTATTGTACAGGGGTACCTAGTGACAGCACTAGGATCCCGCTTCCTCTATCAAGGAATAAACAATTGAAACTGAATCCCACCAATAGTGGGGCAGCTAAATGCAATTTTTCAAGAGAATCATGCAAATGGTGATACAAACACCAAATTTGGCATGGTTATTCTCTAATGGCTACTAGTCAAGTCTGCCTAATTGGCCATTTTAAAATCCAAGATGGCGGCTATTTTTCAAGATGGCCGCCATATTGACCTTCAAAAGTTGATTTTTCTTATAGAAATTGATGTAGTTGGTCAATCTGAGTGATCTTGGTGTCGATTTGTATGTTTTGAAGCATGCTCAGATGATTTTTTTTAAAGTTTTAAGTCCACTGTAACATTTTTATTCG